GCCTGCGTGGCGGGGGTGCTGCTCTTGATGCACTTGGACTTGCTGCCTCCTGAGGGAATTTGTTTGGGCAGAAGCTTTGGGTCCTCTAAGATGTGAGTGTGCAAGGCCTGCCTTGCTGGCAGATACTGCTTGGGTCCAGCATCGCCCTCCAAAGCCCTTCTGTGTCTCATGGGCTCCTTGGGAGACCTCTTCAACGTGCCACTGAACTGCCTGAGTGAGCAGGTCCTCTGGAGAGGGGAAATGATGCTTCCTGCAACAGTCAGAACAGGCGCTGTGCATGATGCGGAGTCCACAGAGATGCTCAACAGCTGAGCACACTTGGCCAGCTGCCAAAATGGGGGCTTGTCCATGTGTTCCTGTAACAGGCTGCTGTTTTGCTGGAGAAACAGTGTCTCAGGAATGTCTTGTGCTGTCAGCTGACTCCCGATTGCCCCGGCCGTGACCTGTCCTCCCAACCCCAGCGAGTATCAGGGTAGCCCAACACGGGTGTGCTCGCCGAGGCCGGCGAGAGGCGACCTCCCTGGGGAGAAAAGGCTTCTCCACCTTGCTGGGACTCTCCTGTAGGCTCAGGGGGCCCGCCGTGGATCACAGCGAGCGGCGGAAGGGGAAGGTCCAAGTCGTTTGACTGTGAGAAGGATGAAATTTTTAAGACTAAAGACTCGGGTGAAATTCGTTAGTGAAAAAATAGTCTAGAATCGTGAAGAATATTTCCTGAAAAGGAAAAATTTACTCTTGGATAATTTGAGGATAAACATGTGATGATGTCCTTTTCTGCATGTAAAGGGCAAAAATAAGGGGAAGTTAAAGCAGAGATTAGAGAGGTGAAGTTTCATCAAAACAGCATGGCAGATAACAAAGTTTGCTCCTGGTTTAGTAAGACGTATTTTGAATTTTCCAAATAGTTCTGTAACCTGCTGTACTTCTGCAGGCTGCACGCAATCTGGCCAAGCTTGTGGTCAGCAGGTGCCCTCACGTTCCTGTTTTGGAAGGACCTACACGTTGCCCTGCAGTGGTGGAGAGGCTTCTGATCCAGCTGAAGCCCCCTGTGTGGACGAAGGCACAGATGTGAGCTTTGAGAAGGCCTTGCTGCAGTTTTCTTTGGTGCTCTTTTGCTTCCTTTTTGTAGCATGAACGGACTGCTGATGTGTTGTCTTTAAAGCCCTGCAGAGATAAGATGCGCATGTCTTTTCCTCTGCTCTTCTGAAATAAGTGGCCAAGTATATTTCACTGTAATTGAAGTCCCTGGACAGTGCTGCATGTGTATAACTTAGTGTTCAGTGGCTCTAGCTGTTCAAATATCAGGGCAATAGCTTAGAAATTCGTAAAATATTAATTTTCCTCCTGGCTTTTGAGTGGTGGAGAGATGCCCCGTGTTAGCAGCCCTGCGCCTCGTGCTCCAGGACACGAGGCTGCGACTCTGGTTTGGACTGAGATGCTACTTGGAACCTAGGAGTAAAAGGTTTGCTTGAATCCTGCACTCACTGCTGATGGACTGAGGTCTCCCGGGAATTGCTTCCAGCAGAGATAGCAGCAAATGTCTCCCCTTGCTGAGGTGCCATTCACAATCCTGGAGGCTCCTGCAAAACAAGGAAGGAAGCAGGGCTGAGTTGTTCCGCTTTGCGGGGAGCAACGTGGTGGTAGCTGGGAGGAGTGCTGTGCCCTGAGGCTTGGGGGATGATCACAATGTTTAAAGCCTGTATTTTAGTATTACTAATTGTAATATGTTTTGTATATAAAGCTCATGCACAAGACCAGGGCCTTGTTGAAGGCCTTGTGTAAAGGCAGGGAGGGTCCCTACCTCTCAAGGTATCTCAATATTTCAAGATATTTTCTCAATACGTGTCTACCTGCATTCATAGTGAAACTTGAGGTACTTTAACTTGGTGACAACAAGACACACATGGTGCAGCCATGTATCCATGCTGGTGGGTTGTGTCCTGCTGGCGTGAGGCCTCATAGCCTTAGCACACAAGAGCTGTTGTCTGGAGCCATTATGTGGCAGACTGCAATATCCTGCGAGCCTCGGAAGAAGCTCTTCCAACTGTGAGTTGTGAGAAGCTGGAGAGAGAAGTTGATGTGTGAAAAAGATTGATGCAAAGAGAACAGAGGGGAAAAATAGGATGAGACTCATGAGAATGCATTGAAGGGAGGCATTTGAGGTTGACAGCTGTTTCTTAGAGTCTGTTTTGATTTTGTAAAGCCTTTGAGGAACCTTATTCAAAGACTTGCAGTAAACTAGACTAGCTAAGAAACAAGACAGAGGCCTTGCATGGATGGTTTAATGAGTGTAAGCAGCCCTGTCGATGTGGGGAGCTAGCGAGTGGGCTTCCACCCAGTGCTGTACTCGGGTGCATGGCTTCAACATGGTTAAAAATGATCTTGGAAATGGGGATGAACAGTGAGAGGATGAAAGCTGATAGTGATACTTCTCCATTCCAGATAACAGAGACAAGGGCCAACTGTAGACTAAAACAGACTATGGGTGAAAATCAATTTTTCTTTGCCTCTCTGCCCAAGGCAGAAAATACTAACTTAGCTATGGTCTCTGAGCTGAATGCTGCAGCTCAAACAGGATCTTAGTGGTTTGATGCCTGAGTGATAACATCGTCTTGCTGTTGAATAGTAGACCTTAAAGTTAGAATTACTTGGAAGGGAAGCAGAGCAATGTGCTTATTGCATGCACTTAAACTATTGCCTAAATTCATGACTTGTCTGCGTTTTTGTGTTGTCCTCATTTCACTCCTGTCTCCAACATGTCAAAGAGTAAATAAAACTCAACTGTAGAGGGAACAGCAGCAAGGGATTGTGTGGATCCTGTGTAAAGAGAGGCTGGGAAAGACCCTTTCACCTGGAGAGGGTGGAGATGACCCTCTGAAGAGGGGTGTCTTTGTTCTCTCCCAGTGTAGTGGATGAAGAAATCAAAATTACTGCATAGCGGGGTCAGAGCAAAGTTTCACTTTCCAAAGCTGTGAAGCTTTGGAGCTCTATGTATTGTGTGGTGCTGAGGAAAGATGAGACTAACTCGTGAGATTTGTTGGGATGGTGAGGCATTAGATACCTGTATTTCCTGCGCTAGTAAATGTTTGTGAGTTGTTGAAAGCTGAGAGTTTCTGGGGGAATCTTCAACAATGCTCTTTTCCTTAGGCATCTGCTGGAGGTCTTTTTGTGGGATCAATGTTTGTGCTGTTAAATAATCTGCAGCCTGACTTTGTTACAACAAATCTCATATACTTGTTGAGGGGAAATGTTTCCTTGAACTCTAAGTGAGTTTGTTTCAGGAAGCTTGTATCTTAAGAGGTATCAACTGGTGTTTCGTAGAGCGCACTGGCTCCATGTGACCACTTGGGTCATGTTGTCACTGGTCATACTGCTCCTTAATGAGCTGCCCCTTGTTTTGTGGGCTGGGGGGAAGCTGTATTTGGGAAGGGAAAAGTAAGAGAGAGACCTCTTTTTCCCTGTCAGGGGCAAAAAACATAGTTAGTGACTATGATAACCTGGCATATTTGCACGGAAATGCACATGAAAGGTGGGGGAGTGATGCTTCTTACCTGCTCTTAAGCCCTGCAGTGACCAGTATTCTAGAAAGGGTCTTCCATAAAGTGCAAGTTAAGAGTAAATGAGTAAGGAGAAAAAAGTTATCTTTTGCACAGGTAAGAATCTCTTGCAGGTGAAAAGTAATGTTGGTTGTGACATATAAGTGTGGAGGCCTCCATGTGAACGTGCAGTCAAGTGTCTGCTCGGTGTCTGTGGGTGTTTGGTCTGTGTTATCAGTCGAATGTGAATGGAAATGGTTGCCTCCTTGTGAGACAGGCAAGCATCTGAAATGCAGGAAACCTGAATCTTGAAACAGTGCTGCAACTTCCTGATTTCCTACTGAATTTTTAGATGACCTGTGGTTTGAGTTAGTGCTGTTGTTTTATCAAATAGCAAGTACGGTATTAACTATCTGAAGCAGACTGACAAATAGGCATTTCTTTAGCTTTTCTAGATGCCAGGAAGTTGAATCTTTTTGACTATACATTAATTTCATTAGCATTTGAAAGCTGTTGACTTAAATGAAGACAGTGAATTCTTCCTTCCCATGTAGTTATCGGGAAACGTTCATGACCCTAGGCAAATATATTTTGAATGCATCTGCCTGAAGCGCTTAGAATCTCACATATCTCTGTAGCCGTGGGTAGTATCCTGATCTTACTGGGTTTAGGTTCTTGTGCTGACACATCCTTAACAAATTAAGCACTTTTTTTTACACTTTTTTGGTTGGGGGGGGGGGGCGGATCTTAGAATTGACATTTAAATTTTATGCTTATAGTATCTGACATGATACTATGGCGTGATGTGGGATGATACTTCCAGGGGCATTTAAATGCTGGTCACTGAGGACATGGAAATCAGCAGTGTTAAATAGCTTGCCACAGAGGTGTCAAATTTGTTGTGAAATGTGGTATTTCTCTGTGTTTAAAGGAACTACTTAGGTTGTTTTTTGTAGGGCTGGTGCATTCATGCATCCACAGGGAAGTTGTGTTTAGTATTAAGAGGAGCCCAGTTAGCTGCAAGTATCCTGTAATTGCAGTTTCCTATGGAAGTGAGCAAGCAATTACCAGAAAGGTTGTAGAACTCTTCTTACTGTGTTTTTTTTGTTTTGTTTTATGCATTATTTTTAATTAGAGACTACTGTTGTTTTTAAATCCTGTAATATTACTGTAGTCCTGTGCTATAAAATGCAACCCATTATTTTGCTGGTACTTCAGCTTGCATAAGCTGACCTGTTCTAAGCCAGAATCAAATTCTTCTGTATTTCTACATACTTTTTTAATGTGAGAATTTAAAAATATTGTATGGCAAATCTGTTGCTTGTTGTATTACACTGTATATTCTGTCATATTTTCTCCAAGGTTATGTAGTTCACTTTCTTTTTGCCATTAATGGCACTTGGCTGTAGATGTTGGAAATCTAATGCTGCTGTTCTTGGTGTTCTCTTTTTTCCCCCCCCCTTCTAGGAATTGAAATCCAAGAGAATGGCAGACATTGACAAGTAAGTAAAATCTCTTAGAGAGAGAGGGGCTCAAACTATCATGCTCTGTCCTGTTTCTTACCTCCAATGACTGTTCTCTGGATGCTTGAGAGAGGATCCTGCTACAAGGCAGTGGTCTTGGCACTGTGGCCCAGTGTGAGGCACGTATCACTTGCACGTGGGAGAAGAGCTTGAATTGCTCATGCCAGATGGGCTTGAGATCATCAGCGTAAATAAATCTGAAACTGGGACAAGGACTAGTTAACTGTTTGGTACTAGGTAGATACTAGGTATTTGTGTGGGAGAGGGGGCAGGTAATCATACCTGTTACTACAGTTTTGCTGTATCTAGTTTTTCCCTACTTGAGATGCTCATGCTGTGTAACGTTTAAAGCGTTGCTTAGGTGAACCTGTCTTCAGTTTAAGCCTGCCCATTTTATCGGGAGCAATAAGGGGACAAAAGTCTTTTGTAGGTAATGGAGTTTTGATAATCCCAGAAAGTTATTTAGCCTTTCAGGCTGTTCTGAGCCTGTCGAAAGTGTAACAATCCGTAGAGACATTTTGCTTTGAGTGTTAAGACTTCTAGTTGGTCTTTCCTCAAAACTGCTGCATCTGTTTGCATGGTCTCTTAACTTGATTTTTAATATGAGCTGTTGAACCTATTTTAGGAAATCTCTTTATAAAATTAACTTCTCAATCATGTTCCTGAATATTCCTAATAGCAAAGAACAGGCTGAACTTGATCAACAGGATATGGAAGATGTTGAAGAAGTAGAAGAAGAAGAAGCTGGTGAAGATGCCAACAGCAAAGGTAACCATGAAAATAAGGCTTTTTTTCAAGCTGCTGCTTATTTGCCTTCAAATTAATGTTAAGTGAACTTTACTGCTTAAGCTGTATGGAAGGGATAAACATAAATACTGATGTGCTACTAAGCACTACTGAGGCCCATACTGATATGTTTCAATCCTGAAACAAGGAAGGTTCTCTTATCAGTTAGGTGATGCTTAAATTATTTGCAGCCATTCATTTTAATCAAGGTCGATGACTTACTTGGGCAGTGCTCGCTGCCTGGAAGGATGTACAGTTGAAAGGAAAGATTTCTTGTAAATAGATGTTTTCAAAAAATAACAGCAGCCAAAAGCTTTTAAAATGTGTTGTCTTGTATAGGAAAATATTTTGCATGTGATATAGGTGTATGTGTGTATGTATGTATGTGTCTGTGCATATGCACACCCAAAAAAAGTAAGGCACTCGTTTAATCCAGGTCTGAAACAGTTTTGCTTCTTTGCATTTGTGTAAAACAGAAGGAAAACCACAGATTTATTCCAGGTCTTTCTGAAGAATTTCTGCTACCTTGAATTTTTGTTGTGACCCGAGGCAAAACTGATGCATTTAGGAACATCATAATAAGCCTATTTTTTTAACAAAGAAAATCGGCTTTCTAAATGCTTACTGTTTAATTCAAATATTGCCTCTTTCCCCTGAATCCTCAGGATAGAGTAGGTTTAATCCATGCTTACAAAATGGAGAGAGATTTTAATATGCTCCTGTCTGACCTGTATTTCGCCTTATGTCTAGTATAGTAGCAGCCTTTGTCTTTTACTAAAATAACTTCCCTTGGATAGTCCATTTTGCATTTGCAGATTTTTTTTTCCCTTTTTAAGCTCGACAGTTGACTGTGCAGATGATGCAGAATCCTCAGATCCTTGCAGCTCTTCAGGAAAGACTTGATGGCCTGGTAGGAACATCTACAGGATATATAGAAAGGTACGGTATCCTCTGATTTGCTGTGACTACAGTAGCATAAATAGTGCTTTTGCTTTCCTAAAAAATAATCTCCAGTACTTCTCCATTGCTAATAAAGATAAACTATTTTTGCTTCCAGAAAAACTTAGTGTAGTCACTCTGTAGTGAATTTTGGAAAAGAGACCAAACTTTTTCTCCCCTCTACTATTACAAGTGTCTTCTATGGCTTTGCTTTAATTGTATAGACAAAGCTTAGGCATGGACAAATACTTAAGAGACCTAATGTTTCTAATACCATCCTGTGGTTATGGTGTAACTAGAAAAGTTAATAAAATAAGGATTGCCTTGTTGGTGTTTCACATAGACTGCTTTTGTATCAAGACTTGAAATAAGCTCACGTTTACTATTTTGCTCTGCCTGCACTAATAACAGCATTTCTGCCGCTTAGGTAATTTGTTGCTTGTAAGCTTCCCATCAAAGCCACAAGAGTTGTGGAGCACATGACTATCTTCCTGTAATAATAATATGCTTCTATTGTCTTGATCTGGGGCTGCTACTGAGTAATAGTCTCATCTACTACTGCGGCAGTTAGTAGTGATACAACTTTTCCCTGTTACTTTAGGTAGGAGTATGGAAAGGTAGAATTATGGAAGAAGGTTGGTTTAACTAATGGCTTCCCTAATAAAATTGGTACAAGAAAGGTCATGGAGCCAAAGGGATTCCTTGTTTCCTCTTTTTCTATTGTGCAGATACACATCTATATCAATTATAGTTACCTTCTTTGAGGTGAAGGAGGAATGTCCCAAGTTCTGTCAAATAACTTTGAAGTTACTTCATATTTTTCTAACCTTTACTAATCTTTCAGGTCCTAGATCTAAGAAGTGAATAAAACACGTTATTGATTTAGATGGCGTTCTTCTCTTCAGCTGTTCCCTCTAAAATGATACACTATCTTTCATCTTTGCAAGCACAGTAGCAAACCCTCTATTATAAAAACATAGGAACTTGGTCACTGTGTCAAATAATTACTGAACTTGCAGTGGAAAAAGGTGGAAAAATGTGTGCAACTTGCTGAGTCTGTACTCTGTTGTGTGCTGGTTTAACCATGCTTTATAGGTAACTCTTCAGTGCCTTCCCAAGTGTTGTTTTCAGCTTATTTATCTAGAGTCTAGATACAGAGATGGCAAAGAAGGCAGCAGGAGTCTGAAGTCATTAAGACTGTTATGTGGGTTGTTAAGGAATTGGATGCATAAGCTGGTCGGAAGCTAAGCAGGTTCTAAGAAAATGACTGCACGTGCTTAAAATCTGCTAATTTGGCAGCTATCTGTTAACTTGGCTCTTCAGCAGCAGCTGAAATTCCCTCGACTGCTTGGTTGAGGTTGTGCTCTGTGATAGTATCAGTCCTAACAGCCATTATTGGCTGTGTTCAGAGCACCAAGCTATACCTGCCACTTGCACTGGTGCATTCCTGTGCAGGCTTCCAGGTCTGTTTTTCCCTTTTACATGCATGTATTTAGTGGATCTCTTCCATGAAGCTGTTTTTCCTTTTAAAGAGTAGCGCTTATAAAAGTAGGAGATGTATAGATCCTGAAACCTGAACTTTCTGGTGTGTAGACCCTTAAGAAATGTAGCTGTCTTGTATGTTTTCTGTCATATTCTATAATAAAAGAGATTGACCTGTTACTCTGGTAAAGTAGAACTGGACACAGGGCATGTATGGTGTTACCATCTTAATTTCAGGATTGTTTTTATATGCAGTTGCTAGAACTCTTAGCCTAAATATATCCACATAGTATCAATTAGCTGATCATTGTATTACTTGCATTGTCTTTTTTTCCTCCCTGTAACGCTTTTTCCTGACCTGACTGAATATGATACTCAAGTTGCTATTTGTTCTGGACTTGTTCTTGAAGCTGGAATTAGCACAAAGGGGCAGTGTGATTAGGTGCTGGGAGAATGGGAGAGCGATGCAAACGTTTGCAACCTTTCTGAATGTTCATGACTAAACTTCAGCTTGGTAGCCAGAGACAGGATACTCATGCTGAGCATAAACCTCCTAGGGAGAATCATTCTATAGTTTGAAGTAAGCAAAGATATTGGAAAATGTGCATATCCTACTAAATACAGATAAAATAGCATTGGCAATGAGTAGTAACTTCCAGTGTTACCACATTCTTGTTGGTTACTTCCACTAACCCGAAGTTGCCCCGAGCAATACTAAGTATTCATTTAGTACTGTGTTCTAATTACATAGCCCAGCTGCTTAAATGAAGCAAATATGGGACTCTGACAGAAAATCTTCTGCAGCTAAGAACTGTCTCAGCTCTTGGGAAATGGAGGCTGTCTGCAGTCCACTCCATAAATCTCACTGAAAGCTTTGATGTAGGTGTTTTGGTCCTGACACTAAGTTTACATTAGTAAAGTTTGCTGCAAGTGAAGCTTAGTTACAGCTGACAAGTATTTATAATGGAAATTGCTTTAATAGTTTCCCAGTACATATATAATGTACCATATAATAGAATGCTTCAGTTAGCAAAGCAGTTCTTCCTCGCTTTGGGAAGGATAAATAATATGTTAAAGGATGATCATATTAGCTTCTTTCATGACTTTTTTTGAAGACTTACTGGTTTCGTTAATGGAGTAAACTTGATTGTCTTGAACTTTTTTCCATAAAACCAAGCCAACTAATGAGTAATTCTTTCTTACTTATACTCACCCATATGGATTTGCTGTGCTGTTCAGTGCTAATGTGCAAGTTATTTTTAATGTGAAGCTTTATTGCATAAGTTGGTGCAGGTATATAGAAAGCTATGTATCCAACTGCCTAAAACATCAGCTTAAAAGCCTGTGCTAGCAGTTTGTATTAGTGTGGTTTAGTGGATGGTTCAAGTTGTCCAGCTTTCTAAAGCTTAAAATAGAGCGTAAAATCTGTTTGGAAGCGAGTTTATTGGGGGTGACGGTTAAGGCAGGAAGGGACAGTGTGGATTCAAGTGCAGTGTTTGTAACAGTTCTGTCCCTGAATTTTTCAGCTTGCCTAAAGTTGTTAAAAGACGTGTGAATGCGCTCAAGAACCTTCAGGTTCAGTGTGCACAGATAGAAGCTAAGTTCTACGAGGAAGTTCATGAGCTGGAAAGAAAGTATGCTGCCCTCTATCAGCCCTTATTTGACAAGGTATTTTAATGCTAATCTGATTTGTGCTTGAAAGCTTTAGCTTAGAAGTAATTGTAAAACACAAGGGAATATGAATTGAAAGCCTTACGCATGTTCTCAATTGCTTTGGTTTCAAACATGCCCATTCAGCTGAATTGACATCAATTCACCATCCATGTAAATATCAAATAAGATTAAGGGGGAGTGTTCAGCCTGTTCCATGGTTACTGTAGTCAGTTCAGTATACTGGACTTCATCCTGTCAGTTAAACGTATCTGAAGAGGTAGTAAGCTTTTAGAAATTTTGATGCTTATTTTAGACTGTTGGAAAAAAATGTAACTGCCGAGTCTTCAAGCTTGCAGTAGAAATTTTTACTAAGGGCATAATGCAATAATTGTGTGAGTATAGGATTGGGAAATATTGGGAATTATTCCTAGACAATGACTAGGAAATGGTGGGAAAAAAAAATCTGGTTTAATCTTTCAGCGAAGTGAAATCATCAATGCAATTTATGAACCTACAGAGGAAGAATGTGAATGGAAAGCAGATGCTGAAGAAGAGATTTCAGTGAGTATTATAATTAGATCACAGCATTTCAGTCCTTAAAATGTATGAAGTTGAATATATATATATAAATATATGTAATATATTTATTATATGTATTTTTATATATATAAAGAGGCTTCATAATTTTTCACAGATCCCTTAAAGCATGCACATGAAACTTAGGCTATACTAGTATCAACAAAACTGCGTTAACTAAACCTTGTGGGCACTCTCTTAAAAATCTAGAAGAAAACTAACATTTTTATTCTATCAAGGAGGAAATGAAAGAGAAGGCCAAGCTTGAAGAAGAAAAAAAAGATGAAGAAAAAGAAGACCCTAAAGGAATTCCTGAATTTTGGCTGACAGTGTTCAAGAACGTTGACTTGCTCAGTGATATGGTTCAGGTGGGTGGTGACCTGGGCTTGTGTGATGTTGCTTTAGTACTTAATCCAAGTCATGTTTTCCAAGAAAAGAGTAGAAACAGTGCATTGTGTGACATCTCTGCTAGAGTGAAAATGAAATGAGCACTGGGATGTCAACTGTACTCAGCTGAGAGCACACTGGAATTCTTTCTTACTATGAAATGTGTTGGACTTGTCTTTTTACCTTTCATTTATTTTCCATCTGTGTATGTAAGCATCTGTGTGTATAGTGTACAGATATATCTAAAAATTGCTTTATGTTTGCATAAGGTATCACTATAGTTAAAATTCTTTACTGTTCCTATTATTGCCATCTACTGGTCATATTCATGAATGTTTCAGCACTGTACCATGGTTTTGTCAAGTGTAAATTCTGTGGCTTCTATCTCTGTAAGAGCATGATTTGGTGTACAATTAATTCAATTTTCATAAATATTTAACTCTTTTTATCTACAGGAACATGATGAACCTATCCTGAAACACTTAAAAGATATAAAGGTCAAATTCTCAGAAGCTGGACAGCCTATGGTTAGTTTAAGCTGTTAGATAAACTTGCTGCTATATGATTCTGGTTTATTTGGATATAGGTGGGTAGTGGGTGGGATAAGCAGGTGTGTCTTGTCAGTCTTGAGAAATACATAGTTTCTTGTCTTCCAAAAATTAATATGGGACTAACACTTGTCTCAGTCTCCCGTGAATGAATTTGTTAAAATTAACCTTCAAATTCTGAGTGAGGAGTTTGGCATTAATGTCTGCTGGCTTCATTTCACCTTTGAATTTTGATACATTTTTCAATTTTCAGACACTTTGAAAATTAGTATAATGGGGTTGTTTCTTTGCCAGAAATTTAGTAGCTTACTAAGTTTTAGTATTTTAGTTTACAAGTCATATCTGTATTGCAGCACCAGGAAAGCTGGACAACTTTGGGTCATTATTGCAGGCAGTGTTTGCAAGTAATGAACTTATCAACGTAATAAGCATTTTAAGATTTTAAGGTGCAAATCTGATACACAGCTTATTATAGAAATTTTATATGTGCACCTTATTTGTATTAATTTGGCTCTTTTAATTACTTGACTCTTTAAGTATGTGTTGCTAAGTTGCTGAAGTTTTTCTTTGCAATTGTCTTTAAGAGTTTCACATTAGAATTTCACTTTGAAGCAAATGACTACTTCACAAACGAAATACTGACAAAGACGTATAGAATGAGGTCAGAGCCAGATGATTCTGATCCCTTCTCCTTCGATGGACCAGAAATCATGGGTTGTACAGGGTAAGTATTAGTTAAAAACAAAGCAAAAACCCACCAACTTAATTGTAATGTAATTTATTCTTTCAGCACTTTCTGGGCATTAGTGTTATCAAAGCACTGGCTCTTTCTATACCTGCTTGTGAAGGTGCTGAAAGATATTTTCTGTTCCAATGTGCTGGTGTCCACAGACTATGTAATTGTTTTCTGTGTATGTCTTTCCCCCTGTGAAGAGAAATAGGGGAGGAAACACTTCCACATAACCAGCATGAGGGCACATCAGGGCTTTACATGTCCTGATCAGTTATGTTCCTTTTAATGTGTGTTTTTTAAACTGTCTGGGTGCTGTTACATGGATAACTTCTGTGAAATCAACCAGAATGATGCCAATATCTATTTTTAGTGATAATAACTCATTTGGAGCCTATCGCTACGTGATGAAAGCTGTTTTTTTTCTCATCTGTTACTATGCACTTACTGATTTTCTTCTGAGAGCTTTTTTCCTACCCAAAATAATATACCTCGTTTATTTGAGTGTTTAGGAGCATGACTGAGAGACTTCTGCAAATACAGGCAGTCTTATTGGTAGGATTTGTTTATTTGCCCCTGGAGTTCTTTGAATGTCAGGCATTCAGTCTGGGGCATGATATATTTTTTTTTTTTCCTTGCAATATAGGGACAGAAATTACACACTTGTTTGATGCCTTATTTGAAAGGGCTATTGCTGTACAGTGGTGGTTTTATCAGGTGTAATGTGTTATTAGCATGACTAAATACAACAATATTTTATAAAGCAAACCTAAAGCAGTGAGTCTGTCATTATCTTTCAAACTTACTGCAGTTCTAGAATGAAATCCAACGTGTAGATAGCACGAAAAAGGATGTGACACCTTTGATATGAACCTAAGTAGAACCTGCTAGCAGATGAAAACTACTGTTTTGGAGGGAGAGTGGAAAAGAGAGAACTTCATGGAAAAATCTCATTCCCAAAATTAACTAACTGCTTTCATTGGTGAAGTACAAACTAATGACAACACATTAGCAGTGATGAGAGTATATTGTAATATTTTATGTTCATTGTCTCCCTTAGAGTTGATTGTCTCAGTAAGTTGTAGTAGATGGAATTGCATTAACCCATACCTGTCTGCCTCTTTCTCCTTCTCCAGTTGCCAAATAGACTGGAAAAAAGGAAAGAATGTTACTTTAAAAACGATTAAGAAGAAGCAGAAACACAAGGGTCGTGGCACAGTTAGAACAGTGACAAAAACAGTTTCTAATGACTCTTTCTTCAACTTCTTTAGTCCTCCTGAAGGTAAGCAGAATATACATCAGTTTATGTGAATGGACTTTGTGTATTTATATATTTACTGACTTTTTTGTCTTGTTGTTTTTACAGTTCCTGAAAGTGGAGATTTGGTAAGTTGACTTAAAGCAATATATTTCCATATTTAACTGGTAAAATTTATGTGGCAAGTGTTATGAAATTGAGAATTTTTTTCTTTATTAGAAGGAATACTTGTTGAGTTGAACAGTGGATTTGAGTCTAGTAAACTTAACAGTTTCCTTTTTGAAAGATACCTTGTAAATGGCTAACTTTTTAAACAAATTAAGTGATCTTTATTATTATGCTTCACTTACTTGGTGACATATTTGGTGTTTTAAAGTCCTTGCCTCCGTTTATTAAATGGTCTTTAATTGCTACGTGTATGAGTATTTTGTGCTGTTAAATATTTTCTCTGGTACTAAAGCTTTTGGAGACAGTTGTAGAACAGGCATAGAAGTCCGCAAGAAGCCACTGTGGTCTTCAATGTGCTCAGTTTTGCTGAGAGAAAAGCCTGTAGCAAGGAACTGCAACTTTATTTTTTTATTATTCTTTTTGTAAGGGGGAAAAGGTGCAGAAAACATTATTTGGCACTGTTACATGCTATTCCTCTTGTGTGAGGAGACTGACTAGGGCCTCCAGAGCCACGCTGTTGAAACTCCCATTGTCATGAATTCTAGTAGTCAAGAAAGGCACCCAAAGTTGTATGTTCATAATATTGAAAATTTTTAAGCCTTTTGACCTCAAGTTCACCTCTCAGGTGGGAGCCTGTGGAACACTTACTGTATAAACGAAAGAGGTGTAAACCTGAGATTAAAACAGAGCAGATGAGAAAGTGCTTCTCAGTGGACTGAAGGAATCATGGAGGAGATGCACTGCAGATGGCAAAAATGTTAGACAACATAAACTAAAAAGATTCATATATTAAATTGTTAAGAACTAAACACTTAAATGAGCTGAAGACCTGTGGGAGGTAGGGAAGGTATTGAACTATCTTCCTACTTAGAAGTTGGAGAGCAGTGGAAGAGTACAGATTAAAACTCTGTATAATTAGGCTTATCAGAGAAATGAACCCTGAACACTGCAGCATGAGTAAACAGTGCAAGTGCAAAGTTTCATCCAACAACTTTAATTCTGTAAAACAAACACTGAATAATAAATTAAAAAAAAAGTCAGGGTGCATTTGTGTGTATCTGGCAATGTTGAAGTGTTGACTTCTTCGTGTCAAAAGTAGTTATTGGCTTATTGTTTAGCAAGTAATGTTGTTTCATGCAGGATGATGACTCCGAGGCGATCCTTGCTGCAGACTTTGAAATAGGTCACTTCTTACGTGAACGTATAGTGCCCCGATCAGTATTGTACTTCACAGGAGAAGCTATCGAAGACGATGATGATGATGTAAGTAATGGTCTTCCACAGTGCAAAATGCTTGTAAGTAATGCTGCTTAAATTTTGTGCACCTTCTAAGGATACTAACATGACAAGATTCAGAAGGGAACATGGCACCACTAGTAGTTATGTCTGAGTTTCCTAGAGGGTTAAGTAAGAAGCAATTCACAGTTAATACCTGTTGGAAGTAGTGAACTTCAGAGCTTTGTAGAAGATGTGGTAGAAGGTGAACACTTAGCTAAATGTTTTAGAGTATGTCCAAGTAGAAGCTTGTGTGTAAGACATGAACGAGAACCGGTAACAGTTGTATTGATTTGGTTAAATTAAATCCTGCCTTGAGCTGAAGTGTAGGATATAGAATGGTAAAGTTTAATTCCCAGCTTTGGGAGATAGGAAAGGATTGCAAGCAACTCAGACTGCCTTACACTTTGAGATCTCCTGCTGGACAGAAGTGTTGTCACCTAATAAGCTCTTTCTGTGTTACACATGAGGAACTGTGGATAGACCTTCTCTGCTTAAGAGTTACATGTAAGGGATTGAATGTTTAATGTATGAAACATTTCTATGTCTAACAAATTTATGTACTTTTAAAGCACGGTACAACGTAAGTGGTTGCTGGTCAGCTTCAGTCATCTAAGAGACTGATGTCTAAACTTAGTGCTCTAACACCACCTCTTTTTTCTTTCCTAGTATGATGAAGAAGGAGAGGAGGCAGATGATGAGGTGAGCTGAATAATGGGCTTAAGTAGTTTCCCTTAGGATCTAAACCAAGAATTCCTTCTATTTTTTTTAATCTTTTGGGCACTTTAACATGTACTTTCTAATCAGTAAAACCGTCAGGGTGAAGGGAGAGACACTTATAAATTAAGTTGAAGTTCTAAGTTTTGTAGGGGAAAAACTAATACAATATGCGTAGGTTAGACATGAACATTAATATACTTAAGTAGAATTTTATATTAAAAATGTGTTTGAAAATGGTTCTGTAAGCAGAATGTGTATAAACTGAAGTATTTTCTTTCAGGAGGGGGAAGAAGAAGCAGATGAAGAAAATGATCCAGATTATGACCCAAAAGTAAGCTATAACAAAAAAAAAAAAATAAAGTGTGCATGTTATACTCTTAAAATCTTCATATATCTTAAAATTTCCTTATATTATAGTCATGATTTTTAGTTTAGATATTTAAAACAGTGTCTGTGGGGTGGTTGTTCTTTAGCTGAGACTGTTTCCATCCTGTTTCTGACAGTCTAAGACTAGCAAGGCGACTGTTGAAGTTCTTAGCAAGAAACATTTTATAAATGTAGCTTGTGGCAATAAACACTGGAATTAGTCAGCTTTGATTTTCTGTAAGTTTGTCTGCTCCTTTTTAGTTTGGTACGAGTGTTCTGAAGCACTTGAATAGCATGCAGAGAACTGTTTGAGTAAGCCATAGTCAGCTTGGGAGCTTCTCATCAGCTCTTCTGCTACACTGGGGAAATCTGGCCTGAGTTGATGCTTTTTTTTTAGGGGAGATAATGGCAAGCCTGTTTCTTCAGGTAGTGGAAGTCTAAGTTCAGGCGTGTAGTTATAGTCAACTAATTCATGAGCAACCAAGAGCAATGTCAGGGCATCTATGTATTTAATGGACTTGGAAAATGGCTAGTGGGGCTCAGTTTGCTGGAAAAGTAATTGAGCTGCTAGATTTATAGCTTCTTCCTCAAGGAAGGGAAGTCTCCAGCCTGACCATTTGGAAGCATCCCCTGCTGCCAAGTGAAGGCTGTAGTCATGAAGGTGAAGACAGGATATCTTAGCAGAATTTTTTTAGTTCACCCTTCGACTAGGAGATGTGCTTGCTCAAATGGGGTATTCAAACTGACAAGGATATTTCAACTAACAAATGACTTCAGTCACTTTGTCAGAGAAGTTATGAGCTATAATCGAAGTACTACTGAAAGTTATAGTCCTAGGTAAGATGTAGGATGTAGAAATATTAACATTAAGGTATGCAACCTACTGGTGTCATTTCATCTGGAATAGTGCCCCATTTGGTTCCTATTGTTCAAGAAAGTCTTTTAGAATCAGATTGAAGTGGCTGCTAGGTGGGCTACTTTTTTCTATCACATCAGCAGTTCTGCTTACAGAAGCTGGTAAGTCCTTTCCCAGCTTGGCTTAACCAAACTATCAGTCAGCAGTATAGTGCTCCTGGAACCAGAACTGCCAGAGAACCAGGAAGAGACATTAAAGGTCCTGCAGGGTGTTGCTGGCACAGAATAAAAGGTAGTAAGCTGGTTGCAGGCTGAAAGCTAGGAGTAAGTTTATTAAAGCACTGAAGTCCTAGAATATCTATGCAGAGAAGGTAGTGAGGTAAAACAGGGTGGACATCAAGTTCTTAAATAAAAGATTTCAACTGAACTTCAACCCTGGAAAGCTTTTTCCCTTAAATCTCTACACTGCTGTGAGGTTTTGCTGCTTATCTGTCTCAGTGTAGCAAAGCAGAGATGTTTGGAATTTCTCAAAGATGTGTCCAAAGTGATAACAAGGTCCTAGGATTTGGTATTTGTACAGCTGTACAGTGAGTTCTGGAATAAGGCTGTGACATTGTTACCAACCAGAGGCATTTCTTGTGGCTCAAATTGAGCAGAAGGCCTGGATATTGCTTCAGAGACAGCAGGCCTAGCTTAAGGGAGGATATTCAAAAAACAACTTGTGTACTGGAACTTGAGAAAGTATGTTTATCAGTTTTAATAATTGTTTTAAAACACTGGTACCCACACACTGATGTTTCTTTTTTCCTTAACAGAAGGATCAAAACCCAGCAGAATGCAAGCAGCAGTGAAGCAGTGTGTATGTGGCCTTGAGGATTACCTGCACTGTAATAGCCTAAACACAACTATTAGTTACTTACAGCCTTATGTTTTGTATCTTGGTAGAATTAAGTAACCAATTTGTTAAAAATGAAATCAAACACATAAGAACCAGTTTAAAATGTAGGTTCAATCTGCCTAGCATTTTAACAGTATAATTTTCAGCCAATATGTAGAATGCAGCAAATCCCCTAAAGCATGAATGTTAATTCATTGCTACATAGTTTGGTTCTTGTGAAGTCCTTGTCATGTAGCTATTAGACTGCAGCTGTGAAGATTATCAGAACTGTTAACTGAGACCAATATTTGTTTAGAGAAAATCCTCTCCTGAAGAACCAACCAAAGTATTTTCAGCCCAGTAGTCTGAACGGGTTTAAGTCTGCTTGCACTAGCTGTGCCTTCATTACTTTGTTATAGAAAACGGCAGTGACTTGTACTAACTAGGAGATGATGATGATGATGATGCATTTTGAATTTGACTACTTGAGAAGACTAGTATGATTTGTTTAATTTCCAATGAGACCACATTAAACATTCATAACTGTCAGCTTGTTTATGCTATGGGTTTTGTATTTTATGTGACATAGTGATCTACAAAGGAAACCTAGTCATCATATTAAGGTTTATTGTTTACCACTGGGGTGTGAATAAAACCTAGTATTTTCAGAAGCTAGTCTTGTTTTATTATGATGTGTGTATCTGCATGTGTAAAATATTAAGGCGTCTCTTCCATGCTGCAGTTCACTTTTTACTAAAAACAAAAATCATCCAAGTTGCTGAAAGGTAAATTATATAGCATTTGAAAAGCAAACACCATTTAATTGTCTGGGAAGTTTTGATCTGTGCTTTCCTTTTTGCAGTGTGGTAGCTGTGAGCCTAAGCTACGTGTTTCAGTGATCAGTCAACACTGCCATTGTGAGAAGACAAATTTTCACGAGTGGGTCTAGATCTGGTGAAGGACTTTGGTGTTGCCATGCCTTACTCAAAGGTCATTTGCATGGAATCTGGAGACAAGAGTTGCCTGGGGACACTTAGCTGCATTCTATAGCTTGTTTGCTCACTGTATCAAGAACTTAAAGAAGAGGAACCAAAAAGCAAGGAATTTCTTCCTTCTCCCAAAAGTTGTTTGCTAAGCTACTTGGCATGGTGTGTGGTTCATGTCCTTCGCTCTGGATATTCATTGCCAGCTTAATATAAGATCCATCCCCCAGGCCTTGTGTTTATCCTTGCCTCTAGTCTAGTATCTAGCATCTAGGGAGGGTGCTCTTTTGTGGGACATGGATACAAACGCGCTCAGCTCAGACTGATGTCCTCTGCTCAAGTCTTCCACAGCCAGTCAGTTACTATTGTCTTTTGTGCAGCCTTGGCCTTGGCATAACTCCAGATGTGCTGATATAAATCAGCACCAAGCTGACTTTTTCAGAGATGGAAGGACATCTCCTTGTACCTGATGTACTACGAAGTGTAGCCATAAGGGGCTGCAGTGTTAAATAGAGCAGGGCAAGGAGGAGGAGGCAAGGAAGCTCCCCTTGGTGTGAGGAAGGGTCCAGGGGAAGTTCCTCCAGCTTTTCTTTCACTTGGAGGGCAGATACAGCAGCATGAAACTCATCCTAAACCCCCTTCCTGGATTCTCTGTCCTTCTCAGAGGACAGAATGAGGCCTATCCTGAACTGCTGTCCTGAAACATCATCCTTTCTCAGAGGAAGATCTGCTGTGTCCTGACTAAACTGACTTTTTTTGTGCGTTCCTCAGGCTTGAATGCCCTTGAATGCCACATTGCTTAATTTCAGAATCCCTGTCCAACTTGATCTGTTTCCTATCTAGATAGCCATGGATTTGGGAGAAAGAGTTCTTGTTGTTCATAGCTGTACACCAGTACTGGTGAAGTTGCACTTTTTTTTTTAAGGAAGCCTATAGCTCACAGCATAGAAAAATATGCAAAAAAACAGTTGACATCACTGTCACTTCATAGCTGTGTGTTAAAGTGGACGTGGCTTTGTCCTTGCGATGACATTAATCCTGACAGGATCTGCCCGGCCTCGGAGATGCTGTCCCGCCAGGTATTCATGTATCCCTTGTCTTTTCTCTCAATGTTTCCCAGGACTCATTTTGAACCAAGCACCCAATATTTAAGCTTGAACTTCAAGACCTGCAGAGACCAAGGTCACAGTATGTCATGGGGCTGAGTGTTTGCTAACGTGGGGTTTGGGGTTGGCATGGGTCGCACCTTCGATCATGAGAAGCATCCAAAGTCCTTACTTAGATCTAGCCTATGTTTACTACCAAAAGAGAAAGCACTGCCAAAAGTTGGCCAAGGAATTTCAGAAATCATTGTTGTTGTCATATGAAATCTGGCTTGTGCTTAAATTGCTTTCTCACCTGATGACTCACTACCATTCAATGTAATGCAATATTTGAAGATGAGAGTTTATAGATCTCAAAGCTCATCTGCAGCCTGCAAGATGCAGAGTCATGAACCCATATCTGCCTACAGACTATGGTGTAGGTCTGTCTAGATCAAATTGCAAGTACTAAATCAGCTGTTCTTGTGTCCTCCAGACTGCAGCAAAAGGAAGGGTATAATCATACAAATTGAGATGCCAATTTTAATGGCATTGGCTAAATAAAACCTGTTTTGGTGCTCAGCATAGTTCTGTGATATCTCAAACACCCTTGTTTAGTGATTCTGGAAGGCAGTATGTAGCAGGAACATTAAAATTTCAACATTAATTGGAGTTTTGTGACTCATTCTTTTTCCTTTTCTTGAATTTATACCAACCACAGGCCAACTGTTTGTTTGGTATTTAAGGACAAGTCAGACTGGGAAAATATTACCAAAAAGAAAATAGGACTTCTTGTCAGTTATTGCAAGACTGCATTGAAATTAAAGAATTGAGCAAATGTGTGTTTTCTGTCCGGTTTTGGTTGCTGAACTGAAGGGAGCTTCCTTAAGGGGGGGGGAAAAATGGTGGTTGCTGATGGAGGAGCTAAGGGAATTATCCCAGAGTTGGAAGGGTGGATGTTATGTGCTTGATAGAGGGGTGCTGCTTGGTCCTGCAAAACCCTTCAGTAAATGTAGATAGATTAGCACTAGGTGTCCTTGGCTCCTGTAGCTTTAGGAATGTAAAAGGCTGTTTTAAAACAATATCCTGGAGTCATATAGACCAGATTTAAGCTTAGCGTTCTTAAGACTTAATTTCTGGGGAAGAGGGATGTCATGTGCAATTAGAAATGCTGTCTTAGGTTAGGTTAGTGACTTAGCAGGTGGTGATACATGAGGTGTTTAATGATGTCTTGTATAACTAAAAGGCTTTGTAAGTATATATGCTTAGCTTGGCTTTTCAAAGCTAGATAGCAGTTACAACTGGGATATGTTTGTTTGCTAAATGAGAAACCACAGCAGAATGTAGAAACTGTTCAGGAATTGAACGTGCTCATCTCTTGCTTTCCAGCTGCTCCTTATGCTTCCCACTGTCTTAAGGCTCACTGTTGTAGATCACTCAAAAAAATGATGGAAGACATCAGCTAATCAGTTTGTGTGCATCCATCAGAGGCCTCCAGTCCCCACAGGCAGCCGAATTCTCTGCCTCGGGCTGCCCTGGGGAGCAGCTGATGCCCTGTGGTCTCTCACTGGCTGAGGGAACCAAAATGCTGAAGCCCTGAGGAAGGGGACAGAGTGGTAGGAGGTCATTCCTGTAGGTGATGGCCCTGACTGGCCTGCTGCGCTGGAGCTTGCAGGGCCTTCGTGTGGATGCGCTCAGCTCCACAGCGCTTCCCCTTGCCTTCTGTGTTGATCCAGCCTTTCCGATCACAGAGCAGCCGTGCCCAGGATGTCCTTGCTTATCCACCTGCTCTGAGTAAGCGATGGAGACATGCTGGTTTGCCACAAGTTTCCAAGCAGATATCAAGGTAACAAATTCATAATTGTAGCACTATGTAAAGTGAAGGTAGACTCATCTACTGAAAATGGTAAGTCTTTCTCTTGTAGGCATTGCCAAGTGAAGAGGAGTTGGCAGTTTGTCCACACAGGAGGTCACAGAATCACAGAATGGTTGGGCTTGGAAGGGACCTGTAGAGATGTTCTAGTCCAACCTCAACCCTGCCCAAGCAGGGACACCTGCTTGATCGCTTTGAGGGACTTGAGATCTTTTAAGCCCTTCCACAGGCTCTCTGCTCTACAACAGGCATCCAGATACTCCTTCCTTCTTGAAAGACAACAGTCTATGAAGTGCCATGGGCTCCTTTGCGGTGGGAGGAGGAAGCTTGGGGCTGCTTCAGTGCCGATACGGCGCGTGTGGCGCCCAGGTTCTGCCTCTGGTACCTGTGAGTCACAGGGAACCGTCGGGCTTGCGGAAATCCGGCTGATGGCTGTGGGAAGGCTCCTCGCTCCTGGAGCGATTTACTGTGGGGTGTGCGCAGGTATCGGTGAGAAAAGATTTCATTACAGGAAAAGTCTCTCCCCCAAATTATATGTTCACTGCTTCAGTCTTTGATCAGCAGCAGGTTCCAGTGAAATTACTGGGAAGTGGTTAAGGTCAAGCCAACACTTTCTTAAGACATAACCACTTGTTTAATTGCTTTAATTACATATGCAACACTCTCATGATGAATTTCTCAACCCTGCACTGTTTGTCTCTTCCTTCTCGGCATGGCTCTGCCTCCTCTCAAGCAGTGACCAGCTCATGCTTCTTGTAGATCTCCGTTTTGCATCTCTTCTGGTTTAGCTGCTTACTTCTCAGTACCAGAAAAGATTGTGTTGATAAGATCGATATGAGGGTTACCTCCCAGTAGAACTAGCATCCCTGTAGCGCTAATACTTGACAGTCTGTCTCGAGCTGTGTGCAAGATGATTACCAAAAGCAGCACAAGAACATGACTTAAACTACCTCTTTTTCTTTAGTCTTTCGTGGTGACTTCTCCAAAGTACTTGTTGCAGTATTTTAAAACTACACTGTAATTACTGTCCCTTCCCTCACCCTTTAATCAAGATTACACATACAAAATTTCAATGACTTGCCTTTAAGTTAGGAGCTTAAGATACAGCAAAGGAGTGTGCCCAGCCACCAGACATTCCTGTTACTAGTATAACGTCAACAAAAGGAAAAACCCAGTAAGGAACAAGCGTGTCTCGGATGTGTCATCACGGATCAGAGCGGCTGTTCTTCGGGATTGTAGCGTCCGTGTTTGACAGTAGGTGGCATCTGCACATCGGCCGTTGCAGGGAACACAAGCGAGGCCTGCGTGGTGTTAGGAAAGCTTGAAGGCAGCACATAGAGAACTTAAACTACTGAAATTATTTTATAACTTGGGAGGATGGAACCTTAAGTCCCACTGGGAAACACAGCATAATTGTTTTGTTCAATATATGGCTTTTTAATACGAATTTGAGGAACAATAACACTTTTAAGAAGTCTGTTTTTAACTTATGTGAAGGGAAATGAAGCTTGTCGCCCGCTGGAAGCAACTTCATCAAAATAAAGTGGGACGAGAGTGTCTTGTTCTGCCACCGTGCATGTCTGTTGGTAGCTCGTGTTACCCTGGTGTGTCCTGGTTTTTGGATGATGTTTTTGTTGAAAAGTAGAGACTCTTAAGTGCTCATTCATGCCTGTTTACTGCACGCAAATTTACCTGGGTGTTTTATGTGTGTAATTCTGGGCACGTGTGTAGGTGAATTTCATAAGGAATAAACAGCTGAATCTGTGCGTTAGCAGAGCCTGTGCCTCGGGGTTTAGACTTGGGCTGCAAAGCTGACACTCAGCACTTAACTATACTACAGCCTGTCAAGGCCTAAGCAGAATGAGCGTGCTCAATTTCCTCTCTGTATTTGAAAGCCTTACTTTTACTTACTTATGTCTAGCTCCAGTTCATGTCGTGTATTTAGTGTATGTATGTTGAAGGAAATGGCTGTTTACAGGGTGGGACTAACAGCTGAAATCGTTCAAGAGAATTGTTAGACAGCTGATCTGTGGGTTTAGTTCAGTGTTCTGCAGCTTACGTAAACTCAATATTTCAAATAAATTATAACTTGATATAGATTAATATATAAATAAACTTACATGTATACACACAATATATATTTTAGCTGGCTGTGGTTGTGCTGCGACAGTTCCAGAGCTGAGACTGGCTCCACTGGCACACTTATGGGATGGGGAGTCCCAAAATACCTTCAAAAAGCATCGTGTAGGAGGCCTGGGGATGCTGTGACTCAGTCAAGCTGCAGGTGAGGCCTCCTGGAGCTGCTGCAGCAGCTGGAAGTGCTGGTGGCTGCACTGGGCACCCGGGTTCGTGGAGGCTGCCGGGGCCTTTGTAACACCAGTAACCTGCTAAAGCTGCCGTGAGGTTATCGCAAGAATGAGCTGGGTCTTGCGTCTTCTGAAAGGGACTATTCTATAGACAAATGGACTTTTAAGAGGCTAATATCCTCCTGAGTTCAACTTGTCGCTAGTACCTTGCCTTCGTTACTCATTTGAGTGTTGTCTGGTTATGCTAAAGGTAAAACAACGGGGAAAAAAAAAAACTAATTGCTTGTCTCAATTTATCAAAATTATTTTGGCATTTCAAGAGAAAAAAAAAAGTTTATGGTTTCTAAATGTAAGAGGAAATGTGTTTTAATGCTGTTGGAGATGGACTCCATTAAAAGTCATTGATACCAGAGGGTTTTCTTGGTTTGTCCTGCTGGCCTATCCTATAGCATGGTCCCCTTCCCAGCTGCTGACCCTATGGGAGGGTTGGGGTGTGTGTGGTTGTGTCTGCTTTACACACAGCCACCTTAAACACGCATTTAAACGTGTAGTGCTCAAACCTAATGAGAAACGGGCAGCGCTTGGCTCGCACTGGCCTTGTCAGCCCAACGCAGCTGTGAGGGCTTCTGAGTTGGGTCCGATGCATCAAAGGCTTTGGAAGCGAATAACTTAATCACAACCCGGCTCCTTTTCTCCTCCCAGTCACCAAAATATAACCTGGGAGCGCAGGGGGGAATCAGAACTGTGAGTGAGGGTGGTAGCCAAGTGGGATAACCAGAGATGGACTTCCGGCTGACAACATGGAATCAGGGGAGAGGTGCTTCCAGCTGCTTGGGTTTTTCCTGGGAATTTTGTGCCTTTCCCAGGGCTTTTCCTAGCTTTCCCCCACTTCCAGGCCCTGAGCCCCTGGCTGGGCCCCTTTGCGCGAGGAGGCGGCGGCGGCAGGCCGCGGGCGGCTGGCGGCTCCCCGCGGCGCGGCGCGGCGCGGCGCGGCGGGCGGCGGCCCCGGGGCCGCCCTTTCCGCTGGTGTCAGCGGGGGGCGGGCGAGGCGGCCGCTCAAAAGCGGCGGGGCGGCCGCGGCGCGGCCCGGCAGCGCGGGCGGCCCCTGCGCTGCGCTGCGCTCCGCTCGCGCGCCCCGGGGCGCTGCTCGCCCGTCTCCGCCTCGGCCCGGGCTGGTGCCGCCTGGCGCCCGGGGCCGCGATGCTGGAGAGCGGCTGCAGGGCCGTGAAGGAGGGCGTGCTGGAGAAGAGGAGCGACGGGCTGCTGCAGCTCTGGAAGAAGAAGCGCTGCATCCTCACCGAGGAGGGGCTGCTGCTCATCCCGCCCAAGCAGCCGCCGCCGCCGCAGCAGCAGCCGCCGCAGCCGGCCGAGCCGGCCGCCAAGATGAAGGAGCTGCACTTCTCCAACATGAAGACGGTGGACTGCGTGGAGCGCAAGGGCAAGTACGTGTACTTCACCGTGGTCATGGCCGAGGGCAAGGAGATCGACTTTCGGTGCGCGCAGGAGCACGGCTGGAACGCGGCGATCACGCTGCAGATGGTGCAGTACAAGAACCGGCAGGCCGTGCTCGCCGTCCGCTCCACCCGCCACAAGCAGCAGCAGCTCCTGGCACCGCCGCCGGCCCCGCGGCGACGCAGCGCGTCCAGCTCCGCGTAGCGCCCGCGCCCGAGCATCCGCCGGGCATCCCGAGCATCCTCTGGACATCCCGAGCATCCTCCGGGCACCCCAAGCCCCTATGGGCATCCTCCGGACATCCCGGGCATCCTCCGGGCATCTCAAGCCCCTCTGGACATCCCGAGCATCCTCTGGGCATCCTCCGGACATCCCGAGTGTCCTCCGGGCCTCCTCCGCTCCATCGCCCCACGGACAGCGACCCCCGGCTGCTGCCCCGCTCGCCCCCTCCGTGCCCACAAGCATTTCAACCCGTGTTATTTATGAGCGCCGTGGGAAGCCTCTTCGGCGTGCTGGGACTCCTCCTTAGGAGGCGCGATGTGCTGTAACTTTATTTTAACGTGTTTTATTTATTAGCTGTCGTGGGTTGTTTTATTTTTTTCCTGTTTCTTTGTTTTCTAAAAAAAAAGATAAAAAAAAATAAGGTTTGTTTGCAAGAGATTTCTGAATGTAGACCATATCTGAAAAGGAAAGGGTCAAAAAAAATCAACATATACATTACATATTCTCTCCAAAGAAATTAAGAAGTTCTGAGTAATTTGGCCATGTGCAATTTGACAAGAGGTTTTTTTTCCCTTTTTTTTTTTTTTTCCCTCCCCCACTTTTAACCCTGCGCTATTGTATTGCGTGGGAAAGGTGGGGTTTGGAAGCCGGCTGAAGCCCTCCCTGCGGACCGAAACGCTCCTCTCTGATGAAAATAACAGTAAGAATCTGGGTCCAAAGTGGGTTTCTTTTAAGATATATGTGCAGTGGAAGATGATTACAGTTATACACGTGCTTGATTACTCAAGAATAATGCTTGTTACTCCGGGGTTAATAGAAAGTCAGTCCGGTGTGTGAGTTGAGGGGAATCTCTCCAGTTTCTCCTGCCGTATGTGACTCGCGCTTGGATCTGATCCATGTATTGTGTGCTTGCTCCTCCTAGGCAGGAAGGCAGGAGCTGAGAGGCGTTTAGAGACACCTCTGGGCATCTGAGCCCAGGGCTTCATCCGCGTGGTCAGTCTATGAGGGGTCTGATTTGCGGCCTGAGCTGAATTTTTATGTGAGTGTTTAAATGCCTTGCGTTGAAGTAGCCCCTCGCTTGGTTATCCCCATCTTAGTGTGCCAGTGAGTGACGTTTGTCACAGTTTTCATAAGCTGGAGGCAGCTCTGGAGACAGCCGATTGCCGGTGAGCTGGAGCTGAGCACTGTCACGAGTTGAGATGCGCGCGGTCTTGCCTCTGAGCGCTGAGGAGGCCGGAGAGCGAGGGGCCAACGGCCCCGTGACGTGTCCTCCCGCGCCCCTCGGCAGCCAGCGGGGCTCCGGCTCCCGCGGGAGCCTCCGGAGCCTGGAGCAGCGAGCGGCCCCGCTCCCGCCGCGTCCTGCCGCCTGCTGCCGTAGCCCCTGTCTCTGTCATGGGTAAAATCCCTCCCGTTGTCACCGGAGGGCTGCTCATTCAGGCTGATGTGGTGAGGGAGAGCTGCTTTGGGCCCCTCTACAATCTGTGTGAATGTAAACAAGGTCTTTGAAAGCGACGTGTCCAGGGCTTTCTACAGCCTGGGTTACCAAGGTGTAATTTGACTGTAAGAGCCTGTACTTGGTTCCAACCCTTTAAGTGCTTAAAGGAGACACTAAAGTGACACTTGAAGGAAGATCTTCAGATCAGCTGCTGCTCTTCACTGTCCTGTCCTGATTTCCTCTGTACCCTGAACCGAAGCTTGGTTTTGCAGGAACTCAGTGGAGGTCTCTGACTCCACGGTCCTCTTGGTCCCTTGCTGTCCTTGCGGAGCTGGCCCTGGAGAAGGTCGTGTGAGGAGCTTGGGATGGGAGGTTGCAGCTCTCCTGGCTGTCACCTGGAGGCTCATGGAAGTAGAAGGTGCCCAGCATCTTCTAGGACTAAGATTCACTGTCTTGGTAATGGTAGTAGCTGATTTCCCTGGGTCTGTGCATCTGCTGATGTCGTTCTGCTGATGCTTGGATGGTAGAGCTGCGAGGGGATTCCCTAAAGAGCTAGGCAGAGGCTCAAGGAATAGGTTGTGATTTGGCTCCTCTCTTCAGAGTCGTTAATTACAGTTTACTGAGCAACTAACCCACCTTTTCAGATACACAGGCTGAAAACTCACCTACTAAAATGTGTTTTAGTCTACTGAGGAGTAAATGTAACTGATAGGAAATCATTTCTGTAGAATCTGAGACAAGCATATGCCTCACGGAGGGGCAGTTATTCCTTTAGTCCTGTCCAGTGTGGAGTAAATCCCAAACCTACTGAATGCCACGGAAGTGTATTGATCTGGTCTAAAGCTGGAATGTTAGTGTTTTTTTCTCAAAGTTTGTACTTTGAAAGCAAAAGATTGTTGTTTCAGAGTAATGCCGCTGACATTAAGGTTTGAAAAGAAATTTTGGAATGGATGTTGTGTTTTCTAGTTCACCAGTTCAAGGTCAGCATCTACTTCCATGTTATATTTCTTATTCCAAGATGGTGTGAAGGATGCGCTCTCAAAACCGCTCGGAGTGGCCTCGTTCACAAACTCTTGCCTGTCGTCGTTGCTGGCTGTACTGTTTTTCTGGAACGCTGGCTTTGGTCAGCCGGTCAGGCCTAAACTCCCTCTTGGCCCTCGGGACTCTCTTCTGAGCTGCACGGGAGCCGTCGGGCCAGGGCTGCGGGCTCAGGCTGTGTCAGCGTAAACCAGGCTGAACCGTCCGAAATGGTCAATCCGTAACTTTCTCATGGTCTAAATTCACTGGTTTCCCCTACTGGTAGCAACTGTAGCCCAAGGAATTGCTGGGCTGTGTCCTATGCTGTTATTCCTGTTTTCTAATGTTGTCCCTCTCTTCCGTCGCTGGAGCTGCTCGGCTAAACGCCGTCGCTGCCTGGCCAGCCGCGGCTGCGGAAGTGGGTCCTGCAGGGCTTTCTCCATCCTCCTGGAGCTCCGTGAGAAAAGGGAACACGTTGCCCTCCCTTTTGGGCAGAGGGGTCAAAAGGGGCGTCTGGCTGAGATTAATGTAACGGAATAAGAGTGCCAGTAAAGCAAGCACAGGTATAGTTCGCAAAAGTCACTCAATGCAGAGGTCAGGATCACAACGTCTTAAAGTTGTGATTAAAGTTGTGGGAAAGTGATGGAGGGGCAGGATTCAGCGAGAAAGATCGAGCTGCGGTGTCCATTTTGTACCATGATAATTTTGAGTTGGGGGGCAAGGGCGGGGAGATAAAGTGGATGTTATCTTGGTGACATCCTGGAGTATTTCCTCTTTTTTAAGCTTCATGATATGCAAATGCCAGCTTCTGAAATATAGCTGCGGTGATGTACCAAATGTTTTATAGCATACCCTATTGTGAGCAGGAATATCGGTGTTGTCAAAAAATTGTGTGTAAATATGACTCATAAATAATTTCTGAGAGATGTGATTTATTTTTCATATTTTTCAAAATGCATTCCATTTCAAATAAAGAGGTATCTATTGAAAGAAATCTCAGTTATGCTGAAGAAATGGTTCATTTGGGCTTTTTTTCTAGACTAAAAATGGTCAAGGCTCGACTTAAGTTTTTCCAATCCCTTAAATTCATTCTAAGGACTTAAATTTTTTTTTTACCCAGGCAGATCTCTTCCAAGGGAAAGACCCATTTCATTGACCATTAATGTGTATACATAATCTAGTTATGATGCTGAAGTCCTCCTCCTTGCCCCTTGTGCTGTGCGACATGTGGGACCCACAGAGGGTCCTGGGAACCCAGTGATAACGTGGCTGGGAATCCAACCCAGCCCACGCAGAGCAGATCTTCAGCAGACAGACCTCAGGCTTGTAATCCTGACCATCGAGTGCCTGGCCTTGTGTGACATGAGGAGTCTAGAGCACAGAATTAAATGCAGTTTCTTGCGCTTCTATAGGCACCAAAAGTGCAGAGATTCAATTTCAAGTAACTTGTAAGTAGTCAGAAAGGGCATTTCCAATGTAAGGCATAGCCGCCTTCTGGAGACATGTTTTTACTACCTCATGTGAAAAGAAGTGAGGTGTGAAAAAAGGAAAATGTGTGGTGAAAACTGTTGCTTTGCCACCTCTGCAGAAGTAGAGTTGTTTTTGTTCCTTGACCTCCTGGAAAGTCAATTGATATTGTAGTAGGGGCTGTTTTTAAGCACCTTATAGGAGAATATTAGCTAGTTGTGTAGTCTAATCCTTAGCTCCATTTTTTCTCTCCTTCTCAAAATTATACACACACATGTATATGTGTACACATATGTATACAACTATACACGTGTGTGTATAGTTACTAATGCTGTTGTCCTTCCCTGGAAGGATATCAATAACCTCATCTGTAAGAAGGTTATTGTAGTAACAGAAGTCTAAGACACTGTTGTAAATAGTAAGTGTCCAATAAATAGGCATTTGAACTTCATACTTGATTCATAATCAACAGATTAGATTGCCTACCTCTCACATGCCCGGTGGTTTTGAATAGTAAGACACTTTTGATTAAACATCCGTGGATTTGCTGTCTGTGTTAAGTTGCCACCCTTGCTTTTGGAGGATGTTCCTTGTGAGCTCTTAATGGCAGTGATAAGTTGTTATTGCTGAACACACACACAGAAAAGGGGCATAAATATACATAGAACAAGAACCTTATCTGTCACTTTCTGATCAGTGGTGATAACTATGAAGGTGTGTAGATAATGTGTTTCTCTGCTTTGTTTTGACTAAGATCATGTAAAATAAGGATGTTCACATGTTGGTTGTACCTATGAAATGTCTCTAGAAAATGACCTCTATTTTCCTTGTGGGGAATATTGTATTAATATGGTTTTCAAAAAGAGTTTACTGTCATCTGAAATAGAATTGGGAGCAATTTCACTCTCTGTGAAACTCAGGAAGCAATGTAAGTTGCAAAGATAATATCTGTGGGCCTGAACCAAAATCCATTGAAATTAACAGGAACATTACAGCCTGAAACAGTGTTCTTGGCCTTTTATAAAAACAGTGGCTGCTTTTTTTTTTTTTTTTTTTTTTTCTAATTTTTAAATCTACTGAAGCAAAACCTCTGCCCATAATTTATGCCAATTTATGCCAATAAATGTAGTAATTAGTAGAATTATATTCTGGTTTTGTTTTTGTTTTTTTTTTCTTCCTAATGAAGAAAGGGGGAAGAGTAATGCATTTCCATCAAAATGCGTGCATCTTCCTGTCTGAACTGTTCTTTGTCCATTAAGCTAGCACCAGACCAGAACTATTCGTTGCGCTTTTGTTGAATTTGGACTGTAGTCGAACAAAGGAAGTTTGCTTTGTAGGCAAACCCAAATTGGAAATAAACCAGAGTGCCTACTCCGATTGCCTATTTCCAAGCAGGAACATCTCATCCCTTTTGAAATGTAGCTAAATGGCTTTCTTCAACTACCTCTTTTGAAG